CCTGTCACCTTCTGGAAGGAGAGGAAAGGCCTCCCTCTAAAGTGCCCATTACCAAACCGGTCTTTCTCCAGAGGAAGGAGGGACAGCAATGATGGTCAGAACAAAGTACCCTCCTATCCCCCCACCCCACATTGCGGTGGCCCATTGCTTGCCAAACCCTAGAAATCATCACAGCTCCTGTGTGTATGATGAGGGCGCTGTCTGTCTGGCAGTGTGACCCCACAACCTGTGAGTCAATGGGACACTTTTCACTCCTCTCCCATCCTTTTTCTCTTTCTTCCTTTCTTTATTTCTTTTCTCCTTATTTTCTTCTTTTCTCCCCCACCCCCATGTGGTAATTGCATTTATGAGTAAAGGCCAAAGGCCAAGCTCAGGTACACGCCTCAGGAGCTATCCACTTTGTGTCTGTCAGGGTTCCTAAGGGAAGCTGGAGTTCACAGATGGGCTAGGTTGCCAGGCTGAGCAGTGAGCAGTGGGTGTCCTCCTGTGTAAATGCTGAGGATTGCTCTCCTCACGCTTGACAGGGAAGCACTTTCCTGACTGAGCTCTCTTCCCAGGCCACTTTCCTTCTTTCTGGCAATAGGCTCTGTGTAGCCCAGCCTGGCTTCGATCAAGCAATCCTCCTGCCTCATTGTCCCCAGAACTGGGGTCTTTTGGCCACTAAGTGCAGTGCCAAGATGGACTGATGGGTGGATGCCTACTTTCTTGTTCTGGTTTAAGTCGGCAAAGAACAGGCAGGAGGCGTGGACACAGGACCTGCTGCTGCTGCAGAGAAAACTTTGCCAGGAAGAAAGGCATGGCAGACGTGCAGAAATAAGTTCCCCTGTGGAGCGGTGCTCTAAGCACACGGGAGCGTGTGTGTGTGTGTGTGTGTGTGTGTGTGAGAGAGAGAGAGAGAGAGAGAGAGAGAGAGAGAGAGAGAGAGAGAAGCAGGTTTGTGTGGGTGGAAGGGTGGAGAGAGCTTGCTTTTGATCCTGGTCTGAGATCTAGGTCATCTGGCCTTGACCAGGTTGGGTGGGGGCAGAGGGAACTGACTGTAGCTTAGCCGTGCAAGGTACCCCTGGGTTGGCTCAGTTCCCGCTCTCCAGGCAGATGGAATTAGACTCTGCAGTGGAAGATGAGGTCCCACCTTGCTCTGCAATGTGTACATCAGCAGAATTCTTTTCTTTTTTTTTTTTTTTTTTTTATAGCCTTGGAGACATATGCTGTTGGGATCAAAATCACCTCTGCAGGGTGTGACTGACATGCAAACAGCCGAGAACTCCTTGCCCAGCACTGGGAGACTGGCTGGAGGGAGCAGCCTCCAGACACAGTGACACCCCTCCATTCCAGGCCCAGGTGGCCCAGGTGTGGAGCAGTCTGTGGGGATCACATTACATCCCAGAGCCTGAGCTGGGTGCCCAGGCCGGGTGGGGGTGGGGCTGGTGTGGGTCAGGCAGGGCCTGGCTGTTCAGGAAGTCCCCGGGCCCAGGCTGGCCTGGGGTGGGGGCTGGGGGACAATCAGAAGCTGGCAGGGGACTGGGATTCATGAGCCTTAACACTGGCTGGGCCTCCCTTCTTCTCACTCCGTTGCTCTTTGCTCAGGCCTGTCTCAATCCTCTGTGCAGGCCACCCTGGAAAAGTTCTGCTCATTTTAACCCCCGGGAGCTTCCTCTCGGTGGGTTTTCACACTTACTAGATGGCAACTAACTTTTAACAAGGATGTCTTCTCTACCCCAGGCACCTGGCAGATCCCTTTGCCTGAGGGGCACTTGTGAATCTTCAAGCAACCTTGGGAGTCACAAGCTCCTAGTCCCCTGTTTTATAGACTGGGAAACTAAGGCAGGGCCTGGCCAGTTTCACTGTCACTGAACCCAGGCTGTCACTTCCTCCCCACAAGGCTGTCCCTAAGCATCCCTAAAGGCTTTCCTGGGATGGCCTGGGTGCTCAAGGAATGCTTCTGTTCTGATTGCTTGCTCTAGCACCCAGGAAAGCCAGCTGGGGTCTGCTGAGGTCTTGGGGAGCACAGAGAGAGAGAGCCCTCCTCCCTCCAGGGTTTGACTGAGAGATAATCCTGACTAGGGGATGGTTGGAGTTCAGAGGGAATCTTCAGAGTGGAGGGATGAGAAAAGGTGGCTTCTGGGAGACAGGGACCTGGGTGAGGGGCGGCCTTTCGTGAGCCACCCCTGAGACAATGGCCATCTGGGTTATGTACGGTCCATCCACCCAACCCAGACCTGCTCAGGTTCCCTCTACAAAGCTTGTTAGGGAGATGCTCCTAAAGATGGGGCCAAGGATTGGCTTCCTAGAGCAGGACATCTTAGTTTAATGTAATTCTAGACTTTGGAAGGAAGCCACTTCCTGCATTGAAGCTGACATTGGGCTCAGCATAGTGCCTGTGGGGCCTTGACCTAGGCCTTGAGAGGGGCTGAGGCTAGCCTAGTTCTCCTTTCTGCTCTGTGGGCACTGCTGGTTGGGCTCCTCTTGTTGATGCCTCTCCCAGGAAAGTCTCTTCTTTGGGAGTTGTGTCTCACCTCTCGCCTCATGTGGGTGGCCCACTCTGTTGGCAGGGACTGGAGTCACCTGGGGTCTTGCTTGTGTATTGTGCTACAGACAGTGGATGCAGTGGCTTCCCTGTCACCTGCCCTGCAGCTCATAGGTCAGATGTCCTTCTCTACCCAAAGGCCAGCCAGATGTCCTATCTCTACTCTTTTGGATGCCTCCTTCGCCTGACTTTGGGGCTTTCCGGGGAGAAGGAAAGGGAAGCTACCTTCCGGTTCCCAGACCTTACTGTGGGTCCTTGTTGTTTCCAGAGGCCTGAGAATCAGTTCGTCATGGAGGTCACCATGCTGGCTCCCTCCCTGTTAAATCCTCCTCCCTGGCCCTATCTGAGGCATCCAGGCTGTCACAGGGTATTCTGAAGTGAAAGTAGGGCCTTTTGTTTATTCTTTATCAAGAACTGCAAAACGGTGACCATAGGTGTGACACCAGCTCACAGCCAGCATGGCCTCAGTTCACAAGGTCCAGGGAGGGACCTCTCGGGGTATCTACTGGCTAGGGATTCAGTACTGGGGGTATCCACAGCTTGGGCTAAGATCTGCGGGCCTGTTTTGTTGTCTAAACTCCTGCAGGCCTCAGGAAGCCTTGTTGTCCAAAATCCCCACAAGGAATCTCCTCTGTTCTAAGAGGCTTTCTCCCCAGGCTGTCGCTTCTCACCCTAGGACTCCAACAGGGGCCCCTACCCAATGCCCAATACCCAATTCACTCTTAATCTCAGACTTCCATGGGTCCTCTCAAGCCCAGCCTCCGGAGAGCAGGGCAGCCTGCCATTCCGTAGAGCCCCTGTCACTCTGGGCGAAAACTGTTCTGCTCCTGTTTTTTTGCAGATGAGGAAACTGAGGCGGCAAAGAGCAGCAACCCACTGAAAGCCCCAAAGGTCGAGTGTAGGGGGCCTTTCCTGGTGTGAGGAGAGGGTGGCTGATCCTTTGGGAACAGGAAAATGAAGTTGGGAGGTCTCCTGAACAGCCCCTGGGCCATGAATTTGGGTACAAAGACTAGCTGCCTACTCCTCAGCCTTGGGGGGGGGGGGGCTGGGAGGTGGTGTCTGACTGTGAGGGACTAAGGGGCTTGTGTCAGGACGTCACGATAAGGGGTGGGTGGAACCCCTCCTCTCCGAGGGGAGTGTGGCACTCTCTAGTTCCAAATTTTGCTTATACATTCAACAGAGTTGTAACCTCAGGGATTACCCCGGTTCTGGGTTCAAAATACTAGGGTAAAAACGCCTAGAAGCCAAATCTGAACGCTCACGGTGCTGGACTTGGGGGATGGGATGGAGGCTGGGGGGAGACCCCAGACCATGTAAATAAAGATTCGGTGTGTGTGTGTGTGCGTTTCGGGGCGTGAAGTGCAGAAAATAAAAGTACTGTCCGTAGGAGGAAACAACCTTATCTCCACATTATCTCTGCCCGTCCTGGAAGGTTCCCAGAGGAAGTGGCACCTGAGGGGGGAAGGGCGGGGAGAGACCGTCCCCTGAGGAGGATGGCCAGGGCAGCAGAGCTGGCAGCCCAGTGAGTGTGCAGTGGGGGTCTGCATGACGGGAGCAAATGCAGTATTCGGGAAGAAAGAGAGAAGAGCCAGGTCCAAGGATGGACACCTCTGGGAAGCTTGCTCTGATTCCCGCGCTCCCTCCCCGGTACTTTCCACCACAGCCCGAAGGTGCCACAGGTCTCATTTTGGTCACCTCCAAGTGCGAGTCCCTAGAGGGCAGGGCCGCCTCGGATTCCTCTCTCCGCACCCCTGCAGCGTCCGACCAGGTACGGGACACTTGGTGGGCACTTGGTAAATATTTGTAGAGCGCCCTGGGAGGAATGAATGAAGCCATTGGGCCAGGCTTGGGGAGGGCGGGGCTGGGCGCAGGTGGGAGGCCGCGGGAGCGGGAGGGGCGGGGAGGTCGGTCCTCCCGCTCCTCCTCCCCCCTTCTCCTACCCGGCCCCAGCGCGCACCACTCCGGGGCTCCCGAGGCGGCTGGAGGGGAGTCCGGGGCGCGCGGGGCTGGAGAAGCGACCCGGGGCTCTTGTTCTGGGCGCGGGAACTCAGAAGAGGGTTTGTCGCCGGTGCCCGCAGGCCTGGGCGCAACCCGAGCGAGAGAGGAGGGAGCGAGGGCTCGCCCGGCGCCCAGCCGCCTCCTCGGCACTCGCTCTCCGGACTCTAAGGTCTGCAAAGCTGCTGCTCCTCCCATCCCGGCCCGCCTCCTCGCTCTTTCGCTAGCTCTCCGGAGCTGCCGTGCTAACCCTGCGGTGCGTCCCGGCGAGTGCGGGCCGAGGGGCCCCGCGCCAGGGCTGAGCAGAAGACAGGGGCGTCCCGGGCAGAGCGCAGCCGGTCGGGGAGTGGCCATGTGTGGCAAGGCCGCTGCGAAGCTCGTCTGCAGCAAGTGACCTCGCGTCGTGGACCGCTGCCCTGCCCCCTCCGCTGCCACCTGGGGCGGCGCGGGCCCCGGTGCCCCGGATCGCGCGTAGTAGAGCCGGCGCGATGCACGTGCGCTCGCTGCGCGCCGCGGCGCCACACAGCTTCGTGGCTCTCTGGGCGCCTCTGTTCTTGCTGCGCTCCGCCCTAGCCGACTTCAGCCTGGACAACGAGGTGCACTCGAGCTTCATCCACCGGCGCCTCCGCAGCCAGGAGCGGCGGGAGATGCAGCGGGAGATCCTGTCCATCTTGGGCTTGCCCCATCGCCCGCGCCCGCACCTCCAGGGAAAGCATAACTCGGCGCCCATGTTCATGTTGGACCTGTACAACGCCATGGCAGTGGAGGAGAGCGGACCCGATGGCCAGGGCTTTTCCTACCCCTACAAGGCCGTCTTTAGTACCCAGGGTCCCCCTTTAGCCAGCTTGCAGGACAGCCACTTCCTCACCGACGCCGACATGGTCATGAGCTTCGTCAACCTCGGTGAGTGGCGGTGGGAGGGGTATATCACAGCCAGCCAGCGAGTCTACCTTCCCTTTGCAAAGCATCAGTGCCCGCCAGAGACTTTCGCACCGGGTTCTTAGTGAACCCTAAACTCTGTGCGTTCCTGGTAGGGCTTGCCGGCTCAGCGGGTTTGTGGGGGATACCGGGAGGGAAGGATAGGTCCTGAGTCTCTCTGCGGTCTCCGCCGCGGGTTGGGGCGGAAGGTGCTGGCCGGGCCGCGGCTTAGTTCAAAGCGCCCGGCTGGGTCATGTGAGCTGAACCGGCCACAGCGGCCCGCGCTACCTGGATTTAAAGGGCCCTTGTGGGCCCAGCTGCCTTCCCGCCCTTCCTTCGCTCCTCTCACCCCAACTTGGCCCTGGCACCGGGAGCATCCCTTTCCCTTACCTGCCTTGGCCAGCCCTACCTGTCCCCTTGCGGTGCGCCTGTGTCGGCGCGCGCCCGGAGCTCCTCGGAGCTCCTCTTCCAGTCGCAGGGCCCCCTACCTTTGGGTTCTTGTCTGGAGCCGGGGAAAGAACGTTGCCATTGCGAGTTTTCTATTTTAAATATTTAATGATAGGTCCCGGGCAGGCAGAATCCATTTTCAGCGTTTATCACGTGTGGCGCGCAAACCACGGGGTTTGGCGATTGGGTAGCTGGGGACCTCGGAGCAGAGGCCGCCACCGAGTGGCTGGTGAATCCTCTTCCCTACTGGAGTCCTAGCCAACCAAGTGATGCGAGGCTGGGTTGCAGTTGGTCCGGGATAGCTCCCCCTGCATCCGTGCGCTCACGTGTGTCTAACTTGCTCAAACTAACCCCCGGCAGTGCGCTGTGGGGTTGATCATCAAATATTTGGTTTTGGTGATAACACACCCTGATAGTGCTGTTTCCTGAGCCGCTTTTATTCTGCTTGTGGAAATTGCTGAGAAAACCCCAAATCAAGATAGCAAACACCGCGGGCGCTGTGTCAACTTGGAAATAATGAAGTTTGAAGGCCACCCCTCCCCCGCTGGGCACCTGGGGCTTGGAAGGGGACTCAGGTTAATCCTTCCAGCTCCAGATAAAGGCCCTGGAGTCCCTGGGAGGCTATTGTCTGCCTCCATTATTGGTCAAAAATATCAAATAATGAAACAAGGGTCACCGTGGGTGATAGAGATGCCAAAACAATATAAAACAAGTTTAAATTTTCCTTAGACGCTTGTTAAGAAGAGGCTCTGCTTTGTAACTATCTCCAAGACATAGGTGGAAAAAAAGGGTAGGAGAAAGCCTGAGAACTGCAGAGAGATTCTCCTGGGGGCAGGGCTGGGAGGTGGAGGCTGTGCTTCATTGTGTTAGTTCTTCAAAGTGTGTAGATTACCAAAAACTATAGACAACCACGTAATAACATGCTTAGCAATATATGGTCAGCATGGATGTGTGAAACCGCCTGTCCCAAGGCCAGAGTTAATAGGGTCCTTTTCCCAGAGTGAGGGTAGGGGCTTAAGGCATCTTTGTTCTCTCCTTCTGTGATCTCCAGGAAGGTCCTAACTGATGATTCAGAGTCTTGTTGGGCTCATCAAGCAGCGATCTATAATTCCTGGCTTTGGTGGCAGTTCTCTGTGCTTCAGGTCAGGCAGTGTGGCCCCAGCTGGCCTCCTCTATCCCAGAAGGCCAGGTGGCTCCCAGGGCGGCTCCCTGGGCCCTGCTGGGAACTTGGCGGGGGCGGTTGCTCCCCCCCTGGCCTTGGGTACAAGCTGGGGCATGCTGGGGAGGCCACAGTTGGGTGGCTTCCTCTGGCTGCACACACACCTTTTAGTCCATTCTTTCATGTTGAAAGGACAAAGACTGGCTTGTCTGAACCTCTTACCCAGTGGGGCTGGCTTCGGGCTTTTGTGGGACCATCCTGACTTTCTCAGGCCTGGCTTTCTGGGCCATCACTCCCAATTAGATAGCAGAGTGGCTTTAACAGAACCCATGGGCCTGGGTCTTGTGTTCTTTCCCTTTCTGTCCCTAAACTACAGGTAATTAGGGGAAACCCCAGACTGCAGCTGCTGTGAGCTCCCGTGGATGCATCTTTAATCTCTGCTGGGCCACAGCACAGGGCATGAACCTCCTGCCTCTGCTGCTGGGATTTCTCCCCGGGAGCGACTTGGGGGTGGCAGTCGGGTGGAAGAGGGGTTGTGTGGCCGCTGGAAACGTGTCCGACATTGAGTTTGCTGAGCTTAGTTGAACTGCCAGTCACGTGGATCAGAAATAGACAAAGCTTTAGAAAGCCAAGATGACTTTTACCCTCTCCCCCTGAGTGATACAATGTCATTGGTTCCCATCAACCATCCCTTGTCACCATTGTGGCACTTGGTGTTGGTGCAGACTGGCTTCCCTAAGCTGTTCCTTCTGACCCCCCAATACCTCTTGGGGACCCCTGCCTCAATCCTGAAGGCTTTGCAGGTCCTTTACCCTATCGTCTGCAGCCAAACTGGTTTTTATTCGTGTAAGTTGTTCTCCCTGGAATCTGAGCAGTTTGCCAGGCCAAGTTGGATCTACACTAGAGGGGACTGTACAACAAAACCAGGGTCGCGTGTGAGGACTTGACCCTCCCAGATGACAAAGACCAGCCCCGCATCATAAAGCCCCTGGACGGGGGCGGGGGTGAGACACCCATCATCCCAACTCTGGCCCCAGAGTTCAATGGCAAGATCTGTAGACTGGTTTGGATTAACAAGCCCCTGACTTCTCTGGGTAGACTTCATTTTGGAATTCAAAACAGGCTACACTCACTTAAACAGTCCTTAGGCAAAGTCGATCCTGCGGAGACTTAGTCTGGCCATTAACCCCAACTATTCTTTCCTTGGGAACCCCAGCATCTTTTCTCAGAATCTTCTAGAAAGCCAACCGGCTTGGAGAGGGTGTATGTGATTCCTGTTTATCTCTGGACCAGGTTAGGAAGGAATGAAATTTGTTTAATCTTTGAAACTAAGTTAGAAAAAGGAGAAGGTTAGAACCCTGTCATTATTGTAGCCAGCACATAAAAGTGGCTTTTGTTAACTCAGGCTGGGAAGCAGAAGGGAGACCTAGCAGTTTGGTTTTCACTTTACCCCATCTGGCTGTCCTTTCTGTAGACAAGTGTTTGGCGTTAACATCTCTCCTTTACCCCTCGGAACAGGCCCTACCACTGGGGAGTAGTAGGGAAAGGTTCTGTTACAATTTAAACACGTCCTTTGGGGACTGCTCCACAGAGCATGGCTGCAGGCGCCTGCAGCTGTAAGCTGGCCCGCCTTAGAATTTGGAAGGGGCTCCTTCACATTCCAGCCCTTTCTGGTTAGCAAAGGAAGGTTAATAGAGATGTCACATGGTTTCCCCCTTCATCTTTCTTCCTCTCTCTCTCTCTCTCCCTCTCTCTCTCTCTGCAGACCAACTTCACCATAGGGGTGCACTAACAGCTGTGTTTTCAGTAACCCTTTCAAAATCACTTTTAAACCTCATTTTCCTGGGTCTATAAATCAAAGATTTCCCCCTCCCCTTTTCCCAAGGATATTATGTGACCCAGATTTGAACTGTTTTGGATCTTTTGTGTATTTCCCTTCTGCAATCAAGGCAGAGGCTGGGCCCTGGATGGCAGCTCAGATGGCTGGCTTGGGTGTTTATCCCAGGGCTGTCATTTGGGTCTGAGGTTTCTGCAGAAGGTAGGAGGTGGTGCCTAGAGGAGCTGGTGATTGTTTTCCCCGCGTGGAGAAAAGAAAGCGCCTCTGAGACCCAGCTCCAGAGAACTGGGTCGGTGGGACTTTAGCCTAGGCAGTGATGGTGGCAGCCACCAAGCCTTTGCCCAGATAAACAGAGCAGGGACGATCCCCTACCACTCTCTGGCGAGCCTGTGATGTGAGCACATGTCACATGCCTGCTGAACTGGGAGACAAGTGATGATTTCATCCCAGGCAGAGTCCCGTGGACATTGATCGATCGCCCCGATCGCTTTCATATCTTGCCCACCCCGCTTGCTAAGGTCATATTTGGCCCTCATCGAGCCTCACAGTGTCCTCCGGCTGCCTCCTCCACCCTTCCCGCCCTGCCCCTTGGTGTAACTGGAATGGAGAGCCCTTCCCACCCCACAGCCCAGCAGTGGTTGGGGCCCATCGACGCACAGGGGATGTGGCTGGCTGCTGCACAGCTTGCCTTCTCGGGCTGGACTCTGCGGTGTCTCTGGGGTCAGGGCACAGGCAGGGATGTATAGGATCTGTCTTGCTATTGTCAGAAGGAATGCACTCAGGGATTAGCGGGAGAGCACGGTGGTGGGAGGGAGCCACAGCTGTGTACACTTATTATAAAAGATTTAAGTCCCACTGGTAAAATCAATATATTGAATTGCACAGCCCTCTGCTTTTAATTAGTTTAAATCAAACGCGCCCAGGCTGTTTTGCCTCTCCTTGCCTCCGTGGGGTGAGGAAACAACAATATTTACATAGAAACTGATAACACGTCCAGCTTCCCACTCCGACGGCCTCAGTTTGATGGATCCCAGATCGACGTGGAGTTGGGAGGGATGATGTCAGTGGGACATCGGTGATGCCTAAGACTTGGATCCCGATATTAGGATACAGTAGGTGTGTGCTCAGAGGCAGAGTTGGTGAGTCCCCTTTTCGTACAGGCACTCGGAAAGCTGAGATTCACCAATTCGCCCTCTAGAACATTCTTGCAAAACCATTCAGGGGCTCCGCCAGCATGTGGGGTTCTTTGTACTGGGGCAGCTCAGGGCACATGCTTTATTTATTCCAGAACTCGCCTTCCTAGTCCCTGCAGCTGTTTATAGAGGCAGGAGGGCTTGCATTGCAAGCGATCGCATGCACCACCAGGCCATTATGTGAGCCGGTCGGTATTAGCTGTGTGCTCAGCTGGGATTGAATTCCCCAGGTTTTGCAGCAAATGGCATTTGACAAATACTATTTGACAAAAAAATGTGACTTGGTATTTCTTAATGTGGAACAGATATTTCACGGTTAACGTCCCCCGGCGGAAAAAAAAAAAAAATC